CGTTATTAATGGGCCTTGCCCCCACTCCTCCCCTCGATTAAAGCAAAACTTTGGGCGAGCTGTCAAAAGAAATATTTTAAATCATTTTCGAACCCAGAAAATCCCATCGTGGCCCATATATAATAATTTTGCCACTCAAGGCAGATGTGTTTTATTAAACATTTTCCGATAAGCAGGCTGCACTGCATAAGCAGCGATTTATTTTATTTCTTGGTCCATTTTCCTTTTCAGGATTTGCTTTTTATGTTTTTAGGTCTGTGAAATATGGGTGCTTAAGCCACGTTTTGGAATATGTATTTTGGTAAATATCCAGTCGAGAGCGCAACTTGTTTTGCAATTAAACGCAAACGGCAGCTGCAACAGGTGCATGGCACGCATCACGTATGCGACCCGTGGGCTCCGTGCGTGTTTTATTTATGGGGAGTACTACCCCGCTTTAAATGGAATATAAGCAAATGAGCGAACAACGAACGAGCCAAGCGGCAGCAGCCAAAAAAGCCTCAAGAAAATGACGTTGCACGCACACGACGTTGAAAAGTCATTAAGTACAAATGACGTTGCTCACTGCAAAAAGCCTTTTCTGCGGGGGCGTGGCCGGGGGGAGGGGGCGGGGGGGTTGTGCAGGTTGGAGCCGTAATTGCAGCACGTTTGAGCACAGCTAACTGCATATTGAGTAATGCCCGCGAGCAAACGACAACGATGGCAGCAGGATTGGTAGTACGGCAAGAAAGGGTTGAGATATGGGCCCTTAAAACTGGGTTGGGATTGAATTGCCGGGTGGTTTCGGGTGCAGCGGAGGTGGCTGTTGCAACGTTTGCCTTGCATTATTTATGACAAAGCGGGCACCAAATTAAGACCCACTGGAAACCTACCAGGCAAGTCGAGCAGAAAGTGCTCGAATCGGGGAAACACAGGCTCACCATGGGGTATATTATTAATTTAAAACTTGATTTATCCATTCTTGGGGCATACTCTAATATAGGCTTAGGCCTAGAAATACCCTTAAGCATTTGGCATGTAAATAAATTAATTATAATTTTCTTTTGATTTAAGGTCTTAATACTTCAAGTCAAATGGAGTTTACTTATTTAAATATTAAATCACAATATTTGTACTTTTTGTGTATACTTCTATCTTGTTGTTTATCATTCTGCAAATATATTAATGGTTTGAAAAACAATTTATTAAGTTTTTTTATATGGCTAAATATAAGTATTTTTTGAATTTGCGGTATATTGTTTGCTTTTATATAAATTTCACTATTAAAGGTTAAGTAAATAAAGGAACAGTAAAAGGACCTTTTGTGCAGCCCTGAAACTGTGGCTGTGCCTATGCCGGCATCTCAGGATCTCAGGATACAAGGAGCCATGTGGCTTTGAGTGTGCGGTTGACTCTAGGTCCCTGTGCGTTCGAGTGCTGGCTTTTATTTACTTCGCGTAATTTAATATTATGCCATGGCAACGATGACGACCGTGTCGTGCATCCACTGAAAGCATAAATAATCTGTTGTCGTGAGTGTGTATCACACAGGACCTTGCCTCCATTTCCTTTTTTGATAAATCCTGCTTAATTAATTTGTGCTTTAAGCAACACGAGCGCCAATCACCAATCGCCTTTTGGCCAAATGTCAACTGGCGAATTGGGCAACTGACACTTGTCGATAAACCCTTGCACGTCCCGCTGTCCGAATCAATTAGGAACCTTTCACGTTAATCGCGCCATATATCAGGCTCCCTATCTCTAGCTATATCTCCGGCCATCCCCCTCTAATCCCCCCTCCCCTCTCCAAGGGCCGTAAACGATACCCAGATCTTGACAAAAGGGCCCGAAAAGGTCGATGACAGGCGGCGGAAGTCAGAAGGGGAACAAAAAGGGACAAATCAGCACGCGACATTTTTCGCGCGTTGTTGCTGGTCCTGGTTTTTTTTTTTTATTTTTCGTGGGCTAATGAAGGACCAAAAAGGAGCAGAACAAAAGGCGTGAAAGTCAACGAAACCGAAGCCAAAGTGTTAAAGTACGATAAAAAGATTAAAGTGCACAAACAAACACACGGACACACTGAGAGAAAAAAGGGAGGCGACACAGCTGCAACATCCGCAATTCGCAGGCAAATTGAGATAAAACACAAAATACCCAAACAAAGACATGTAAGGATAAAAGGAGGGATTTGCAGAAGGCTCTCAGCAGGCACTAGGCAATAGCTAATAGAAAATCGGATCAGATTAGATTTAATGCGGCGACGGCTAATTTTTGGGTGATTTCTCATGGAAACGGGGAATTGCTCCAGCCCCTTTTGAATCTTTGGCGCCATCGCTCCCAAACCAACGTTGAGCTGTCAGCGGCAATACGCCGGCAATGACAGCTAAACAAATGACACAAATGCGGTGGATGTCAGTATGGGGTAGGGTTTTTCGGGGGTGTGAGGGGTGGGCTCTAGGCTGACAGACCCACACACAGATGGATATATGAGCGTATCCAGCAGTAAACTGCGAGCGCTGAACGCCGAGCGTCATCAACATTTCCGCTTCCGGCTGTTTATGCTAAAAGTATGGCGACGACAACGCCACTGATGGGTGGGTGGGTGTATCATAGCCCACCCGCTGAGCTGTCAGACGCCTTGGCTGCCAGCGCTATGTTTTTTTTCTCTGTCTTTTGCCTTCTGGATGAGGAGGCATCTATCATCCTGGGCTCGGCTTTCGCCCAGAGTTTGGCAGCTACCAAATGCTAACTAAGGGAGCCAAACTACGGGAAACCATTGATTAGGCGACAATCTGGCATGGCAGCCACTGTGATTCTCGCCTCCAGATTCATCGGAATTTCATTGGCCTTAATGGCAGTTAGGCACACTTGGGGCATCGGAAAGAAAAAAGATATTTTGTAAACACATTTTTAATACTATTAACTAAACAATTGCTTTTATATTGATTAAATGTTAGACACAAATTTACTATTATAATACCATTGTGTCCTTAAATATATTAGAGCACAAAAAATACATTTATTGACAAAACATATTAGTCTATGTAGTCAAAAAGTATTTTGCTTAATACAAATATTTTTAAAATTCATCTATAGTTGAATGTAGTTTAATATTAAATGAAATATTCAAAGCTCTTAAATATATTACCTTAAATGTATCTCGAAATAGATTTTAAATGTGATATACATAAACAAACCTTGCAAATCAAACAATACAATCAAACAGGAATAAAAAAAAATCTTAATTAAATGCGAAACAAATAAATCAAGGAAGCACTTCAAAGCTATCGGTGGCAGGAACCTCAGTTCCGCTTTGGCTTTGAAGCTGGTAGCCAACCAAACGGCAAAGGACATGACCTAGGAAGCGCCAGCTATCAATCACACTCTCCTGCTCACCCACACACACACACACACACAGATATATCCACTCACACAACCTCAGAGAGGGGAAGATGAAATAATTATGCTTAGCTGGCATTCCCGTTGCCATAGAGGTCCTTTGGCGCTCTGGTTTCATTTACATGATGATGACATCTCTGCTTATAAATAATTACACACACGCACTGCGATGCTGTCGCATACATTTTGATATTTAATTTTTATGTTTTTGTTATCTGCCAGGCAAAAGGTAAATATACTTGCTTGTTCCTTTGCTTCCGTTTGTTGGCTGATTTTTACATATTTATGAGTGGCACTGTTCCCCCGAGGGAGTATAAATCCGGGGTTGCAGTCCTGCTTCGTCCAACTAATTGAAAACTAAAATGTCAATGGCAATCTCATCATCCGGCAGTCAGGATCATTCTGTTCGACCAGACACGCCACTCACTAGTCGCTTGAGGCCATGAAATCTGCGCTATAAATATGATGGAGAGAAAAAAACCCTGCATTCTGAAATGATAAAGGCGGGCAAACAGCCCGATTTTTGCAACTCCAACGCGGCTAAGCACATAAAACGGCTTTTCATTTCGAGGGCCGGGACTTGTATCGCCATGGCTCCGGGCTCCAGTCTATAGCCACGACTATGTAGCCCCAACTCCATCTCCCAGTCGCCGGCTTCCGACCACGTTTGATCCTAATGTGCTGCTGTCAGAGCCTGTCGACGTCTGCCGGACTCTCGCCAGCTATTTTGGGGATTAATGTCAATGTGAAAGGATTTTTCCCATGCATTGGAACTCAACTAGCGCCCTTCTTCCTGCCCTCCTCAGTGGCACTTCCATTCACATTCACTCGGAGAAAGCATTGAGAATTTTTTACACGAACTAAGCACTTTCGGGAATCAAGGGAGTTACTTTCCTAACAAAATATTGGGAAAAGAGGTGGGTCTTAATTAGGAATTTCAAACCCGTCAGTCCGTTTTCATGAAGTAATAATATGGCTTTGTAAAAATGTGTCCAAAAACTGCACTTCTAAGACCATAACTTTTCGTACAGACATTCGATTTCAAAGTGGCTTACTTCTAAATGATCGTGGTTTAATTTTCTAAAAATCTGTGTACTCAACTTGATTTGTATTTTGGCGTCGATTTTTCGTCATTTTTATGATGTTACCCCTTTCCAAATTTTCGAAAATTGGCTTTTCTGAAAAGTCACCTAAAACCTGAACTTCTAAGCCCATAACTTTTCTTACAGAAACCCGATTTCAAAGTGGCATACTTCAAAATGATTGTGGTTTAATTCTCTAAAAATCTCTGTACTTAACTTGGTTTGTATTTTTGGGTCGATTTTTCGTCATTTTTATGAGCTAACCCCTTTCCAAATTTTCGAAAAATAGCTTTGCTGAAAAATTACAAAAAACCTGCACTTCTGAACCCATAACTTTTCTTATAGACAGCCGATTTCATGTGGCATATTTCTAAATGATTGTGGTTTAATTCTCTAAAAATCTATATACTCATCTTGGTTTGTATTTTTGGGTCGATTTTTAGTCATTTTTATGGCTTGACGGATTGTTTTTCAATAAAATCTTAAATAGATTGGGAATATTTTTTCGAGTTCTAACCTTGCCGGATCTCAGTAGTAGGAGTAAACAACGTTAGCTCGCAAACGGTAATACAAGCAAACACTTCCTACACAAGAAGAAAAATCATATAGCCATGGCCAAAAAGGAGGAGCTCCTTATGGAAGGGCCCAAGCGGTTAAACCGCGAGTTGGCCCTGATGCTGGAGGACAAGCAGAACCTGCAGTTCCGCAACCTGATGGTGGAGCCGAACAACATCTTCAAGTGGACCGGTCTGCTGATGCCGGTGGCCCCGCCCTACGACAAGGGCGCCTACAAGATGGAGATCGACTTTCCGCTGGACTATCCGTTCAAGCCGCCCCGCATCCACATAAACACGAGGATGTACCACCTGAACGTGAATGAGCGCGGTCAGCTGTGCGTGCCGATCCTGGAGATCGAGCACTGGATTCCCACCACGCGAATCGATCAGGTCCTGCAGGTCCTGCTGGCCACCATCAATGATCCGCAGCCGGAGAACGCCTGGCACATGGAGATGGCCGGCGAGTACCACAACGATCCGGTGCGCTTCTTCAAGATGGCCGATGCCTGGGTGGAGAAGTACAGTGAACACCGGCCCACCGAAGAGGAGCTGGCAAAGTTCGCCCGCAAGCGCAAGAAAATGATGTCGAAGGATTAGGTGATAAGGTTATCTTGGGGACTGCCTATAGCATTCTTAAAGACTATATGTTTTGGATGATGTAAACTAAATGAGTAAAAGTAATGTGCCGCCAGAAAGTAACCTTTCATATGCATTTAAATTATAGGTATTCAAAAAGAACCTGAAAATTTGTATTAAAAAATGTTCTATTAATTGATTATACTTAAAGACCTTCAATAAACATATTACATTGACTTAAAAGTTTGGTTACATAAAATTCGTAAAGAGTTATAAAAAAATTAGCAATCATCAATCAAATTAGGCATCAATCCCCAAGAATATAAAGTCACATCATCTTTTATATTATTTCCCAACTTTAAGTATTAAACTTTGCTAAGATCGTATATAATAAAGTAGCTTAATCCCTTTTATGCTCCATTCGGAACTCTATTAAAATCGCATTTGCCCGTTGTATATGGCCTCAATCAACACCCATTTATCGATATGGTATATCCGCCACCAATTGCTCGAAATTGAGTTGAGGGCTTTCTCGATTGAGTCTCCCACAGAGAAAGTCGTCTTAAATTGCTGGCGAAGCTTTTGATTTCCCCGCGAACTCGCCCCCTTTTGAGGCCTCGTCGCAGTATATGACCATCTAATTGGAAGCGTACAGTGAGCCCCAAGCGAAAGGCTGGCGGGACACTTGTGCTCCAGCCAGCTAGGATATAAATCATCCGCCTCGGCGGCAAACAAGGATGCCCCACGCGGCGTCGCCCAGCGAGCGGGCGGCATTAGCTGCCAGTGTCATTGCCATTGTCAGCGGCATATCATCGTCCTCATCCGCATTCGCATCCGCATCATCCGCCACCATCATCATCGTCATCATCCGCATCCGCATTCGTAGTCCTGTTCCTATTCGCATTCGCATTTGGTTCCGCATCAGCGTCAAAGTCCTGCTGCTGAACCGCTGAAAATCCGTGCTGTGTCCGGGGCCATATAAATTTCAGCAATGAATGAATCAACTTTACGAACATCGGGGACACATGTGACTTGCTTTACGGTCCTCCTCCGCCATCCTTCACACTTCTGGCACTGAAGAAAAATCTGAATAGAATTAAATTGGATATATATTTTTGGAAAATTCGTTATAAGAAGAGTAAAGGTTATGATTAGTATATAAAGTTATATCCATTGTTCTTATATATTTTATAAACATTTTTGCTTTAGGATTTTGTTATCGATTTGCGAATTGAATATTAAAAGTTCGAAAATCAAAAATAAAAAAAAACAAAATTTTATATAAATTATCTGGCATCTAAAATTTTTTGGGGTATACATTTTTATCTTAAATTGATTTTTTTTTCTACTATTTGAAAACCATTTATTTTCACGAACGAAAAATATTTTTTGGACATTTCAACCAAACAACAATTGTATTCTCCCTGTGTAAAATCTTATGTGTGTGCGTTTAATGTGCCTGTGTGTTTTGGGCAGTTCACTTGATATGCTCACTCGCTCTCTATCTGCATCCAAACTTGGACTTGTCAATGGCAGAAGTGGGAGTTGGGAGCTGGATGTTGGAATCTGGGGGTCTGGGATCTGGAATATGGGAGCCGGGTGATGGGAATAAGCTGCCACTATAATTACAGCAAAGGCCAAAGGCACACAGAGCCGGGCTAAAGATATTTGTATCTAGTTTCTTTACTGCTGGATTTACTGCCCAAACAGATTGAGCGGTGGGGAGGGGGATGTGGTGTGGGTGTGGGTGCCCAGATAACTGGTGTCCGAAGCAACCATTGTGAAGATGGATTACCATGGCGGCAGCGTCAACAGTTTTTCTATGTACGAGCATGTTTGTGTGGGCGGGACGGACGAGGCGTGTGTCTTGTTAAAACTGCCAACTGATTATTATCACCTTCCAACTGGCAGGCTAGTCATTGACACCCATTGCTGCGTCGTCCTTCAGCAGGGCCATCGAGGATCTGAGATGGTACACTCAGAAAAACATAATGTAGTGTATATTAAAAAAAATTGTATTAGAAAATGGTTTTCTAATCGTAAGCGGATTAGTTGGGTTGAAGTTTTTTTATCGGTTTATTCTAAATGCTAAAAAATAGTTTTTAAGTATCGCTGGGAATAAACATTTTTGTTTAGTACCATCTAAAACTTTTTTAGTTAAGATCAATTAAAAAGTTTCTACCAATTTATTATTTGCTAGAATTTTAGGGTGCTTTTTTAGAAGCAAATTAAATACATGATGTATTGTTATAAAAACTGAAAAAAAGTAAAAAGCAATAGTTTTGTTATGAAATGTTTGATATTATTTTTTTCGGTATACTTCTCCGATGTTGAAGCTTAAACTTCTCGGACTCAGCCACGCCCACCGCCCCGAGTGGCGCCCTCTAGAGTCTGTCACTGGCAGAAGTCGTTTGCTGTTTGCTTTATTTCTTTTTCCCCATCTCCATCTCCACCACTTTCTCCTTTTCCACCCACTTCATCTTGCTCTGCGGCAATGAATCGCAGTTTTTGATTAGCTACAGACAACTTAAAGGACGAAGGGGTGGAGGAGAGGGATAAGACGAATTATATAACCGTGGTAACCTCTGCAGAGTTTTTCTTTTGTTTTGTTTTACATAATACAGTCGCTACTTAATTACTGTTCTGTTTGCGAGTTTGAAATTAGGGTCCACACTTTCGGTTTTAATAGAGAAAGTAGCTTTAAAATACAAATTAACTTTTTATAAGGAAAAATTGACTTACATTTTTAATATTTTTGATATAAATTGAGAATTTTTAATTTCAAGATGTATCCATTTCTAAATCGTTAAATACATTTATATAAACTATTTTTTTTAATTTCAATATACGCTTTCACATTTTCGGTTTTATAATGAGCAATTTTGAAAACCCAATCAAAACGTATAGTTTAAAGTAAATTTGTTTAATTTACTTTGTACAATTTGAGCCTTTTAAATTGCAACAAAAATTGATTTAAGCCAAATGTAATAAAGCAGCATAAATGGTCGATCGATTTTGCATTCATTACCAAAGACGGCGGGTGGGCGTGGGCTATAACAATTTACGACCTGCGACCCATAAAATATGCAGCTTATAAATTGCATAATTTATACAGGACCTCATACAGGATAGACAAACAAAGTCAGATTGAGATATGAAGCATTGTTAATTCATAAATGAACTCGGTTGGCTGCTGTGCCAAAAGTGCTTACAAGTAAATAAATGGTGCCACGGCATAGATATAGCTACGAATGCAGGTGCAGATGCAAATATACAGATACTCAGATAACTGCTGCAAAAGAGAGCTTAAGCGGTATGTGGAGATTTCTGCTTTTGTTTTCACTGCGGAGCTTTTCCGCCGTGCGCACTGCTTGTAAAACCAATAAAATCAATTAAAAGGCACTCAACATGCAAACAATTATATGCAAATTTATTTATATACACACAGCCAACTAGAAGCACGCAATGCAACGAGTGTAAAGAAAGCACTGTGGAAGAGGAAGAGGAGCAGAGTGAAAGTCAAAGCTGAAAACGGTTTTATACCTGTCAAGTGTGTGCTAGATGTGCATATTCCGTTTGCAAAACTGTTGGTAATACCTAAATGTTTTATAAATAAATCTTGTGCAGATAAAAAAGATTTCAAGAGGTAAACTTATTTCATACTTCAAGGCTTTAAAATGAGTAGCTGTGCCACCAGTTTTCGTACTTAATAAAATGATGAGAAAAAAATTGAAAAATGTTTAACTTGTTAAATTTCGGCTTTAAATATCATATTTAGAAAATGGATTTTAAATAAATTAATTTGAAAAGCATTTACTTGATTTTTTCTCAAAAATATAATGAATTTAAATAAATGATTGGTCTTTAAAACACAATTCATTCTTAACCAATTTCTTTTTTTAACTGTAAGTAATAAAAACTTCAACAGTATAAAAACAACAACTTAAAACGTAACAAACTCAGTAAATACTATTTTTAATTAAATTTAAGAAGACCGCAGATAAGTTTATTGCTAGGTATCAAATATTCGAAGGACTTAACTGCCGAATATCCCCCTAGTATTTGCATATGCCGCAAAAAACAAGCCCGTAAATAAATATAAATATACACGGACTTCTGGGCAGCAGAAAAAATAAAGCAAAATGGCAACAAGCAAAACAACAACAAAGCAGCAGCTCAAAGCAAAGGCAATGAAAACACATAGAGGCGGGGAAAAAGGACGGGGGCGGGGCGAAAGGACGAAGTGAAGGCAGGCAGAGTGAACCTGTTGCGCACAACAACAACAATCCGCACGAAACAAACAACAAAGGCAGCAAAAACAATAATACCAGCACAAAGGTCCTGTTAAATGTCGCTGCTCCTTCCGAAAGGCGAAACGGAATGGAATGGAATGAAATAGACAGGACATAAAAACCAGGGAGCTCAAGAGCAAAAATAAGCGGTTGAAAGGGCGATTGAAAGTATGGTTGAAGCGAAGAGAGCGAAAAGAGCTGCGCATGCGGTGAGCGAAAGTAGAGCAAACATGGCAAGGAAATTGAAAGCGAAACGAAAGGGGAGAGAGCAAGAGAGAGGAACGTTTAAGCAATGAAACAGTTGATAGCTCAATTGCCGCTGCTCAAGAAAGGGGATGGGGTGGGACAAAGAGAGAAGAGAAAGCAGCAGCCTCGTTAGCACTTTTCCAATTCCCGGCGTTCCACTCCGCCGTTCTCTTTCTCTGCACGTCTTGCTCACCCGAACCTGTTAGGAAAACGTTGTATTTCAGTTGGGAAATCGTTGTGTTTCTGTTAGAAAGTCGCCGACTGTCAGCGAATTCGGACGATCTGAACGCAACGCCTCCGCTCCCAATCGGCTAACGGTACTCGAAAAGCGCCAGTGCTAGCTTAACTTAAGTGCAAGAATACACTAAACTGAGATTAAACATTAAGGCGGTCTTTGTGTCAACAACGTGTTGCTCCCTTCCGTTTGGGAAAAAAATAAAGAAAATCTACAATCGCCCCTCGCGATTTCCGCTCGCGTTTTTCTGCTCGTCTATCGCAAGGACCAAAAAAAGTGTTTGTGTGTGTTTTTGGCCCCCATAAACGAGTGTGCGTGCCAAAGTGCAACAAGTCTCGGCCGTAATTTAATTGCAACAATTTCCCCGCTTTCCACATTTACCCGATTTGAACAAGTGCAAAACACGACTCGATCGTATCGGCCAAGCAGAAGATATATCAGTGTCGCAGTGTTCGTGCAAAGTGGAGCATTCATCTCCCAAAAAACAAGACAAGTAAGTTCCGCTTTTTGGTGCAAGTAAAACAGAAAGGAAAGGAAAAGGACGAAGGAAAGGAAATAAAAATCCACATTTGTGCAGCATACTTTTTGGTGCAGTACACAGTAACCAAAATAGTGAAAGCTTCATCTTAACAAATTTATATTCAAATATTCAATTTATTGTTTAAAATTATCAAAGAATATTTTGAACCGATATAAAAGTGATTTTGACGTTCTTATAAAATTCAAGCTCTACAAAAAAAAACTCATTTCATAATAATAGTTTTTTTTTAACTTACTAAATATACGATTGACTAAAAAAGAAAAAGTGTTTTAATTTTGCCCTACAAAAATATTAAATATTAAAAATTATAATTTTTGATTTTTTGAAGTACAAACTTTTTTGTTGTCATCTGTAATAACTATGTTAAATTCCAAAATAAAGAATGTGTATTCAAATTGATGTAAAATCTGAGAAGTCGAAACAAATAAATTCTTGCTCACCCAAAATACTAAAGACAAAATAATTTCAAAATATCTTTAACAAATGTTTTGAGCAATTGTTCTCTTTTAAATTAAAAACATTTTAAGATTCTAGCCTACATATTTGAAATTAATTTTTTTTTTCAATATGAAAATTTTGGAGAAAATTTTATAGTTCTCTGCACTTAAAACACAAGTTCACTAAAAAAGAGCATTGCACAGAGTCAGCAAAAAATGTAAAAAATAATAATAAATAATCTTTAAGAAATCGTATATGAAAGTAAATCACTTCTTCTGGAACTTTTAAAATTTAAAGCCAAGTTGCCTTTGAAGTTGGGGATTGCAGGTTTTTAGGACAAAACACTTGACATTTTCCTCCGTGTGTGTACCGACTTGCGACGAATTTTTTGTGGGTCAATAGACGCTCAAACACTCGGAGGACAAGAAAAGCAGCCAGCGAAAGCAAACACACAATAAAAACGACAGAAATCATGTTTCTATGATGTATACTTATGCGTATTTATACATATTGCCCTGCTAAGTGGGCTAAACAAATTCAGCGAATTCCTCGCAGTTGGAAAACTTTGGCCAGACAAACAAACAAACAAACAAATGGCAGCAGCAGAAACGGCGGCAGCAAACAAAGGCAAACAAATCCCTGGGACATTTCTCGGAATTTAATTCAATAAAATGAATTCCAGCTCTCGGGCAACCGGGGTGTCCTTTTCCACTCTTGCTTTCAAAGTTGTTTTTTATTTTTTCTTATTCTTGGCTAAATGTCTGCAAATTAACTTTGCGAAAAGCAAAGAAAAACGCAGAACGAACGAAATTCCATTTGACAAATCGCAAACGTAAATAGATCCCCCAAAAAAGAGTCTCCAAGTCGGGATTTTTAAATGCAATTTAAGTTTGTGGAACTCTCTTGGCCGCTTCTCCACTCCTTTCCCACTGATAAATGGCGAGGGCCAAAAGTTGGGAAATTTAACATTAACCTTGGCTTGGCTGTAGCTCTTTCCATCTCTCTGAGCCCACAAAAACCTCGTGTAATAGACTCACAGCCAAAAACTAAATCACTGTCATTGTGGTCGGAGATTCACAACCCGAAATGCGGACACACATGCAGTGGAAAACTTACAGAAGAGCACAAAATCATAGCAGTTAGGAACAAAAATGCAGTTTAGTTTTTATTAAATAAATAATGTGTGGAACTGAAATACCCAATCCAACATTTTAAATTGGGATAATTGTGGCATCACTTCATAAGCTCATTTAATTTAAAATGTTATTAAGAGTTGGTACTACATTATATTTTCTGTTTAAGTTTGCATTTAAGCCCTATTATATTTTATACATTGATTAAAAAATATTTAACTTTATTGTTACTATCTTACTATTATATTGACCGCATTTGTTAATATAGAGATGGTAGTACGAAAGATAAAGTGAAGTGGGATAGAATCACAGTGAAGCAAGGGAGAGGTAACTATTGTTAGGCAATGATTTGCAATTTGTTTGAAAAATGCATTCACAACCACAAAAGACAAACAATCTGAGGGGGAGTTAAGCCGAGCACAAATAAAACCATAAACAAACGCACCGAGCCAAAGCCCAGATACAGATACAGATGCAGATACAAATACCCGGCTCCACAGATGCGGATGCGGCTGCAGTTTGCAGTTTGCGGATTGCTGGATTGCTGGATTGCTTTGGCTTTCAGCTCGAAAAGCGAAAGCTGACAGAGAGATGGAGGACCGCAGAGAAGTGGGAAATATATAAAATTGCAGCCACAACCGTCAATTGCTGGGCAACCAAATGTCCGCCCCTCTTCTCCTATCTCCCTTCTCCCCTCTGAATCCGGAATCCCGCATTCAGCCTCATCAGCAATCCGCGACAATTCTTGGCAAACTATTTCTCAGAACACTCCACTTTCCACTTTCTACTCGGGCACTCCATCAACTGCTTAGTGGGAAAGTGGTTGGGGGAGGCAATTTCATATGCGGAACCCGCTGCACCGAACTGCATACAATTACAAGCAAGATGCAAAATGTGCACCCAAGTATCTACCAGATACTTAATAGCAGCAGCAGTGGAAGCAGCACGAAATGGCTCGGAATGCCAAACGAATTCATATTTGATGTATGTATGTATGAGCCAGCAGCTAGGGATGTTCAAAGGAAATGCCAAATGAGATGTTTAAGCATATTTTTCGCATGGAGTTCTGGCAGCACAGTAAACTCTGTGTGAATGCTGATTTCGAAGAAGAGCCCAGGAAAGTTGGAAAATTAAGGAGCATTTGGGAAAAGTATAAAAGAAGTACCCAAAAAATCGATTGTACCGATTACATGAGAAACTATTTAAAAAATAAAGGAGAGGAGAGGGAGAGGGATTTGATAAGATATACATATATACTAAAATTTAAAAGGTATTGAGTATATCAAATAAGAGAATTGAAAGTGCTACAATTTTAATTCTTAAGAAAATAAAAAGTATGAAAATGCTATGAAAATAAAATAATATTATTGAGCCATGAAACAATTTATTTATTTATTTATACAAAAGCTAGCTTATAGACAAAACGAAGAAGCTTTGTTGTGCTCATGAGCAAAAACTACAAGGCATTGGCCTAGAGTTAGGCAATTTTATGCATGGAAAATAAAGCTTAAAGACTTGTTTTGAGCACAATTTGAATATTCATTCCTTAAGAAAATATTGATACTTAAGGAATAGTTAAATTATAATTATGAGCAACCAAAACACAACTCTCACTTGTATACACCTCCAATTCCCGTGACCTCAAAAATGGCTACAGCGATGATTGCTCGCCTGCCTGCCAATTAACATGTCAAGTCAAGTGTCGGAAGTTGTTGGTTTTCGGCTCGCGAAAGGCTTTTCCTCTCCAACGAGGCGCTTTTCCAACTTTTCCACGCGATTGGCCGCAACATTCCCCGACACGTGTTCCCGGACCAACTTTGTTTTAAATCAATTAAAGAGCCGGTACGGTGGACGAGTGACCAATCCCGAGCAATTTGCGGCACACATCCTGGGAATCTCGGGACAGCGACTCAAATGAAATGTCACGCAAGCAAATGAAATGCGAGACAGGCCAAAAGGAAGCCTTGCCAGTTCCAGTGCCATTTTCAGTGCCATTTGGCTGGGAGCGTCAGGAAGCTATTAAATCTACATAAAATTGTAGAAATGTGTGGCATGTTGAGCAATTACAGCTCCATGTTGGCTAGGAAAACTGTGGGAAGTACAAGGGCGGACGCACCTTTCGCCTGACATGCTCATCTGAATGTAAAGCTCGGCCATGTTTCAGTGGTTTCACCATCCACCCCCCCATCCCCACACCATTCATATAGTTTTGTTCTCGTTGTTGTGCAGCTTAAGAGCCGTTAGGAAATTGCACTTGCCATTTCCCCCACCCAGTTTTCCCAGCCCTTTTCGTCCGCGATGTGGGCGTGTGAAAAAAGAATTAAAGTCAAGTGAGCGCACTGAGACTGAATACATAAAACGGTGCAGGAAAATGGGAAAATGGGGGGATTGTAAGGGAAAACTCGTAGGCAGTGAAAAGGCATTCAGTGGGCGTGGCTGCATGCACAACAACAGAAGAAACACCAAACAGCCACCAAAATCAACGTCAACGCCAAGGCAAAGCCGGAAAAACGCCACAACAACAATTACAACAAGAGGAGCCGGGAAGTATGGTACTCTGCATGGCTATTTGGCCATTTTTTTAGGTGCCTTCCCTAGGCGCGAAAGGTATAATTTTCGGCGCGACATTTGACGCGACCAGGGCTAAAATGAAATATACAAAACTTTGCCCATTTTTTCCACGGTCCTTTTTTAGCTTTTCCTGGCCGAAAAGTTGAAGTCCAAGATCCTAATCGAGCTTAGCCTGAACAGGCAATTATTTGGGCATTTATCAAAGATTGCCGTCTCGAGTTGTGTGAGCTCGAGGGGAAAAAGCAGGAAAGGTGACATCTTGCCTGAGATATATTTTAAAAGGAATTGGAGTTGTCCACTAAACTCGGCTTGCTATCAATCTTTAAATAAGTTTTTAATAAAATATCATCCCAAAGCATTATTTTTTGCCTTGCTTTGCTTTAATATAAATATTTGCCTTTCAAAACCCACACCTATTACCATTTTAGATCCCTGCCAATATCCCCAAATAGATATTTTCACTCCGACTTTCCCAATTTTTTCTGTGAAAAATTAATTAGCATAAAATACACACCAAAATCAGTTCCGTTGGGGCAGCGAAAGGAAAAGTAAAAATAGCAAAAGAAAATTATGGGAAAGGGAAATAGAAGAATGCGGGATAATGGGGAAGGGACACGACACCGGGCAAGGGTCAGGATGGAAAATGGCAACAGAAATTGATAAGAAATCTGATGATTCAACTTGTTAACCAATGGTGTCGGGGAAATAGGGGCTTAGATGGGAAAGGAGGTTAAGATGAGAAAAAAAACTGAAATAGATTGGGAATCAAGAACGGAATGAATATTCCTCAGATAGAAATCCATATGAATG